GGGGGGGACCACCCCATGGCACCCCAATGTCTCCTTGACCCCACGTACCTGTTCACCTGTGCTGCGGGGAGACCCCTCCCTGTGCTGTCACCTATGGGGAGAGGGGACACTGCAGAGCCACTGCAACCCCCAAAGACCCCCAAATATCCCTGGGACTTCCCCATGCCCCCAGGACCCCCCAGCCCAGACTCACCCGCCGCCAGCGTCCCCTCGGGGTCCGTGTCACTCGGGGCTGGGGTCAGGGATGCCACGTGTCCTGCAGAGGGACAGGGACAGGCAGCGTTAGGGGATGCAGAGCCATGGGGACCCCAAAGCTGTGGAGTGGCTCAGTAGGGTTGGGATGTCCCCCGGGATGTCCCCAGGGTCTGGCTCGTCCCCACGGTGACACTCACGTGACGACTGTCGCCTGACGGTGCCCTGCAAGACAAGGGGACAGGGGTCAGATGGCCCCGGCGGTCCCGGGGGGGTCCCACGGCCTCCCCCAGCTCACCCCAATTCCGGGGGGAAGGATGAGGTTCCCCACGGTGGCCTTGAGCTGCTCCACGGAGGCCTCGGCGTTGCCGGGTCCCTCCCGGGGCTGCACCGGTTTGATGTGGACGTAAAACTTGCGCGGTTCGTCCTCGTCGTAGTCGGAGTCGCTGGAGGAGCAGCCGGGATTCTCCGCCTCGGCTGAGCCCCCCCCCGTCAAGGCAATTCCCGGTGCTTGGAATTCCAAAAAATCCCCCCCCCCTCCCTGCCCCAGCTCAAGGATACTGCGGGCGATGTCGGGGCGCACCGTGAATCCGTCCTCGTCCACCTCCGGGCAGCCCTGCGGGACACACCCGGACAGGCTCTGGCTTCCCAGCATGGGAATGACCACAGCATTCCCAGGGCTGGCACTGGGATACTCACCAGCATTCCCAAGGCTGGCACTGGGATACTCACCACGTCGTTATCGGGGGATTCCCTGGGGAGTGACGGGGGAAGCGTTAGATGCTGAAGGGGGATGTGGGATGCAGGGATGTGGCAATTCAGGGATGCAGGATGCAGCATTTGGGAGTGCAGGGATGCTGGGATGTACAGCTCGGGGGTGTGGAGATACAGAGATGCGGGGATGTGGGAATTCAGGGGTGTGGGAATGCAGGGATGCAGGCGTGCAGGGACACGGGAATTTCAGATGCAGGGATGTAAGGATGCAGAAATTCAGGGATGCAGGACGTGGGATGCAACAATGCAGGGATGCAGGAACGTAGGCACATGAGGACACTGGGATGCAGTTATACGAGGACACTGGGATGTGGGATGCGAGGACACCGGGATGTGGGATGTGAGGACACCGGGATGTGGGGTGCAGGATCTTACACAGCATCACGCTCCCTCTCCTTACGGCTCAGCCCGGGGATCCGGAAAGCTTTACTCCGGCTCCTCTTGGGTCCTGGGAAAGGTGTGGGGGGGGGAGGACAGAGTGAGGAACAGCCCCCCCACCCCCCAGAATTCCCAGCTGGATGCAGACGTACTTGCCTTCCTGCGCTGGAGCCAGTCGGTACTCGTCGAAATCCAGCGCTCCTGCCATGGATCAGGGATCAGCCCAGGATCATGGATCCATCCCGGCACAGGGGGGGGATCCCCCCTCCTCACCTGGCCGCTCTCTCCCCGTTCCCTTGCTCTCCGCAAACCTCCGGAGCAGCATCTCGGTGCCGATGTTCTCCACGTTTTGCTTGAATTCCTCGTGGACCTGGGAAAAAAAAGAAAGGGGGGGGACACAAATGAGACACAGAGGAAAAGGGGGGAACAGGGGGGGGGGGTCACCCAGCTGGGACCCACCTGCCCGATCTGGACGTGCGTGTCCTCCACGGAGTGGGAGTAGGAGCCGATGAGACCCTTCATGTGGCGGAGATGGGCTTCTTCCACCTCCTGGAAGCGCTGGAGCGGGAAAGGGGGAGAGGTCAGGAAGGGTGGGATGTCCCCAGGGATCAGCAGGTGGGCAGGGAAGGGGGTTTGGGAAGGGTGGGACATCCCCAGGGGTTGGTGGGCGGACACAGAGGGAAGTTTGGGAAGGGTGGGATGTCCCCAGGGCTTGGCAAGGCCAGGGTGGCACGTTCCCAAGGGACAGCATCCCCTGGGAAGGGTGGTCAGGAAGGGGGGAATATCTCCAAGGAATGGCGTACAGTCAGGGTGGCATCACCAGGGAAAGGGGCTTGGACAGGGTGGCACATCTCCAGGGGACAATATCCCAAGGGAAGGGTATTCCCAGGGGTTGGCATCACCAAGGAGTGAGGCTCTGCCAGGCTGCCACACCCCCAAGGGCCAACACCCTCAGAAAACTGGGATCATCCAAAGCGGCACTTCCAGAGGGAGTGGGGCTCATCCAGGGTGGCACATCCCCATGGAAGGATGCTCTGCCAAGCTGGATCATCCTGCTCCCTGCCTCTACTTCACCAGGAGTCTGAGGAGTGCCTTGGGCCCCCAGTTCCTGCATCCCACCCCTTCCCATCCTCCAGCAGTGATCCCATTTCCACCCCAGCAGTGCCCACCACAGGCAGATCCCAGCAGTGCCCCCCATTCCCACCCCAGCAGTGCCCCCATTCCCACCCCAGCAGTGCCCCCATTCCCACCCCAGCAGTGCCCCCATTCCCAGCCCAGCAGTGCCCACCATGGCCGAGTCCAGCATCCTCTGCTCAAAGTCAGCCCGGGCCGCGTTGTACTTGTCGACCGCCCTGCGCAGAGCCTCACCCGCCTTCCGGGACTTGAGCTCCGCCTGTGGCACCCCCGGGGGGACAGGGGACATCCACGAGGACAGGGGACATCCATGGGAATGACAGGGATCGTCAGAGAGCGGACAAGGACCATCCCAGGGGGACAGGGACCATCCAAGGGAGTGACAGGGACCATCAGAGAGGGGACAGGGACCACGGGGGAAGGGACAAGGACCACCAGGGAAGGGACAGAAATTATCCCAGGGGGACTGGGAACATCAAGGATGGGACAGGGACCATCCCAGGAGGACAGGGATCATCAGGAAGGGGACAGGGATCATCCACAGGAATGACAGGGATCATCAGAGAGGGGACAGGGACCACTGAGGGGGGACAGGATCCACCTGGGGAGGAAAAGGGACCATCAGGAAGGGGACAGGGACCACCCGGGCGGGACAGGAACCACTGAGGGTTGACACAGAGACCACCAGGAGGGGGACAAGAACCACAGGGAAGGGGACAGGGACCACTGTGGGGGGACCAGGACCATCCCCAAGGAAGACAGGGGCCATTTAGGGGGGGTCAGGCACTATCAAGGCAGGGACAGGAGCTACCAGCAGGGGTCAGGGACCCCAGGGAGGGGGTCAGGGACTCTCTGGGAGGGGGACAGGGACACCTGGGAGAGGGGGGGGTGTCTCACCTTGTCGATCTCCTTCTGGCTGGTGCCCTCCTTGCGCAGCCGCTCGTACTCCTGGCACTTGCTGTGGTAGCTCTCCTTGGACTTGGGCAGCAGCTGGGCCACCCCATGCAGGAGCTGCACGGCCTCCAGCGTCCCCGACACCTCCTCCTTGGACTGCGGGGGGCACGGCGGG